TTCTCATCCTGACTAACACCAAGCACTGTTATTTCAGTGCTGGATATTTAACAGGCTAGCACAGTGAGAGGGATTTACTAACAACCACACCAATTTATGCAGATTAGACCTGTTTCCCTATGGCCGCTATAACACTACTCCAGAAAGGACAATGGCTTTCCTTCCCTCACTCGGATCAGTGCGATCTCATCCAGTGCCACAGGCTCGTCAGAAATGCTCCGAAGTGATGGGGAAGGGGTTGTTGTTGGCCTTCCTAAGATTCACCTTCTCATCCGACACGACACAGCTGACAAGTCACTGACCTGCCCTGGTGAGCCTCTGCATGAGGATGAGAAGGAGGGAGGAGAGGAAAGGGGAACTGTAAATGTCTGATCTCTGGGGACTGAGCAAAACACCCGGGACAAAAAGCCCCTGTAGAAAACTGCTCCTAAAAATCATCACATCTGTCTTTCTCAGGTCAGCTGACTGCTGAAAACAGCAGCATGGGGACATTTGTGTCACTCCCATGCTGGGAATGGCATCGGCAGGGCCTGAAGAACTCACCAAGAGCACCCTGTCCTAATTTCTTAATTAAATGTCCAAAATAAGAATATTTAGGGCTTTCAGCTCTGTGCGGTTTAGCAGTTCTACTTTGGGATTCCCAAAGATGTTTAAGGGCACTGCAGAATTGTTTTGGACAGCTGGGATCCCTCCTAATGGGACTGTTACAGAGTTATGGAAAAGGAGAAGAAGCATATGAAAAGGAAGATACAGATCTAGAGTAATTTTCGGTGTTTATTTACAGAATGTCTGTACATAACTCCTCCAGAGTTACTCCCACCTTAGGTGAACATAACGTCCCCAGCCTGAAGATCTAAATTGTTTGGAGAAGACTATGAATTATTTTGCTTGGTCAAACATCCTCAGTCATTTCTTCAGTGAGGGACTCTCCTAAGGAGTTCCTTAAGACATTCTCACTTATTTGCCTCTCCATGTAGCAGACACTACTGTTTCCCTCTTTATCTGGTCCCTGGTCACCGCTGGCTGCAAGGCATGAATCTCCAACCCTTTCCACTGTCCCACCACTCTGGAGAGCCAAGTGGCCCTTTGCAACACCACAGGCTGCAAACACACCCAAACTCATCCACCTTTCCTGGGAAACCACCTGGGAAACCGCTAGGGATCTCTGTGTCAGAGAGCCCCAGCCATTCAAATTCCTGCAGATGTGATCGGCTTTGTGATTATCAGCCATTACCCAACTGGGCTGGGTATTTCCACTCCTGCCCCTCTCTTGTTTGGTCACAAGATGTTTGATTAGAGAGACAAAGAAAGTTTCCTTATATCCTCCTTGCTGCCTTTCGAGGGGGAAGAATTGCAGAAATGCAACAAGCCCAATTTCCTCTCAGTCAAGATTAATTTGAAAGCTGACCAGTGAAAGTATGTTTTTTCTTAAGCTATAATACACTTGCAGCTACTGGGATGGCGGAGGCTGTAAAATATCTACCATATGTAACAAATGAAGTTTATTTCTCCCAAGTGAGAACTCATTCAATAATGTTTTTAAAAAAATTAGCAGGAGGATACAGTCTTTTTGGTGCTACCTTCTTCAGCAGATTTTTAATGATTATTCTTATTTCCTCATCAAAAACATTTTCTACCTTGGTTGGTATGCTCCTTTCTCTGGTATTTCCACACACTAGTGGTGTTTGTTGTTTTATTTGAGAAAAGTAAGGTTTTTTCACTGAGATGAAGAGTGATCTTTACTTCTCTCAAAGTCATGCGGGTCAATATATTCCCAGTGGAAAACAATTCCAACATTACTCTGGACAACAAACATAATGTGTGAAAGAATGAATGGAAAACAACTAGAATGGTATGAAATGTTTAGCAAAGCTTGAAAGTATTTTATAAGCACATTTTTGCTTCATAGGAAGAGAAAACAAACACTGAAAACTACCAACATTTAAACTTATTTTCCATTAAAGGTTAGTTAGAGCAGCTCTAAAACTGTCACAGAACAGGACTTTAAACAAGATGGGAAAGATGATTCCTGACCTTTGAATATCACAACATTTACTCAAGTAAAGAATGAATCATGATGACTGAATGAATCCACAGAGGGGACTCCGTTTGCAGTAACTTCCCCAAAGAGAACTTCAGTGAGCCCCACTGCTGAGTGACATTCCCATGACATTTCACAGAGCACCAGGAATGCCATGGTATACTGGAAGACCTCTGGGATATGGACTATGTTTTGGTTTGAAGTAATATTAGTCATCGAGGCCCAAATCCATGAGCTGAGTGTCATCGCCATAGTACAGACAAACCCGTGAAAGTAAAGAATGGAATTCCATCCCATGAAAATACTGGAGCAGCCCTTTAACATGAACAGAACAGTGCAAGCAACTGAGTGATGGCAGAGCTTTGCAGTGCAGAGGCAATGAGAGGCACTAGGAATTTCGGTTTGACTTCATATTCACATGTTATCGAAATGTGTAATAAGGGAGTGGGAAACACCTCCGTGTTCACAGGTGGCACAGAGGAATGGGAGGCAGAAGCCAGGTGTGGCACTGAGCACACAAAACAGCTATTTTCCTTTTTGGACTGATATATTAATGTTTTCCTTTCTTCAGTGTGGCATCACCACCACTCCTCCCGTGAAGCTGCAGCAGACAGGGCACTGTCTTAGCAGAACTGGTGTGAGTGGCACCACTGCTGTACTGCCACAGGGCACAGTTCCTGCAGAATATCCTCACATTCACCTGTGCTGAGCCTAATTGCTGCTCAGACAGCAATTAATACCCAAATATTTAAGACAAAACACACCTCCAAGTAATCTAGTGCATAACCCCGATCTCACATTTGGTTTGATGGTGTTTTGAGAGCTTAAGCCTCATTTTCCTTCTTATCTGTCAGCACAGGAGAATGATACTGTGTTTTCTACTGGCATATGTTTGCTACTGGTTTTTCGCAGCTGCATGGGAGTCAAGGCAGGAAAAAACCCCATGTCCAGTGAACTTGGGAGCTGACTGAGCTGTGCCCAGATATCCACCTCTGAGGCAGAAGCAAGATGCTCTGTGCAGTGCCCTGAGGGTCCATGCCTTGTTTTATCTCCATCTTTTGCGCTGTTATGGGGAACTGATCACCACTCAAATGTTTTGCCTCATGAGAGCCGGTATCCTCTCAAGAGATGCTTGGAAGATAGAGGCAGATTCCTAAGCTGGTACAAACAAGCAGACGCTCCTTTTGAACATGCACAGGGAAACCAACTGCTCTCATAATCCTACAGGACCTCCAAGAGAGACTGAAGTGTTCATTTCTTTTCCCCCTGGAGCAGCCAGCACTTCTCTGCTTTTGCAAGAAGCAGCAGTCATGGGTGATGGAATCCCAGCCTTTTGCAGCACAAGGACCTGTTGCCTTTTTCCCTCCACTGAGCTGATTTCACGTGCTGAGGCCACAGGAACCAACGGCACCTCCAGCGGGAATGAAATCCCTGTTCTTGCACTTCCTTGCTATTGATGAGATAGGAGCTGACAGGGCTGATCCCCGATTTCCGGCTCTGCCTTCCCAGCCCACCCTGGGGATGGGGATGGGGACAGGGATGGCGCCCTGCGCTCATGGAATGGGAATTACATGTTAGGAGTGGAAACACCACGCAGGCTGGCTCCCCGCTGAGTTATTTACTTGCTTGAAATGTCAGCTGGGCTATTTTTCTCCCTCTCCCTCCCTCTCTCCTTCCCCTCCTCCTCCCCATCCTCACCTTGCAAAGCAGACAAAATGCCAAGCAGAAATGTCACTCCAGCCAGTAAGTTCGCTTTGGGGCATAAGCTGCACTTTGATAATGGTATTTGTTCTGTGGGTGGTCAAATTCCCCTCCACCTCCCCTTTTTGGTCCCAACCATTATCTCACGCAAAGATAAGGTTCATAATCCTCGGAGCTGTGGACACTGCAGAGCTCGTGAATCGGCGTGTTCACGGTGCTTATTAACGATTGCTGCTTTCATGCACCTTTTAGATTTGTTCTGCTGCTTTCTCTAGGTGGGAAGTCTCCAAAAAACTTTCAGAACCTCAGTTTTGAGGCACACATATAAGTGCAACCCATAAGTGCACATATGTTGTTTATGGCTACTATTAAATCTAACTTTAGTTTGCGCTCGGGCTCGCAGTTCTGCTAGAAACAATAAGTTTCTAAATCCAACAAATTAACTCAAGTTCATTTATATAGTTTATATTTTCACAAGCTTAGTCTGAGATTCAGGTCTATCTATCTCTCTTTTGCAGCCTAAATGACAGCACTGTCCTGCAGGAATAGATATTCCTGCTTCTGTTGGTTAGCAGGAGGCTTCCTAATCCTCTGACTTATAAAGATAACATCAAGAAAATTCAAAGAGATTTGGTACAGTTTCTCCTAAACTGACTCACACTTTAAAGCTTAACTCCTAAAAATATTTAATTGCTTTACATTGGCATAACCCGTTTCAGGTGAAGGAAAAAAAAAAGAGATCCTGGAACTCGTCCTGCATCTACTCTGAGAGGACTGCACAGCTTTTCATACACCAGCAATGTCACATGTCCGTAACTTTCTAGGTAGAGACAATGTGAATGACAAGATGAGTAAGAGGAGATAATATAAGCACACAAAATGAGGAGCGGTGCCAGGAAAACAGGCTGAAACAACCATTTATCCCCCCCCCCTTTTTTTTTTGTATAGCATGAACGATGAGCTTTCAACCTGAAAGGAATACCTTTCCACAGAACAGAAATCTGGATGGTGCCACTCTTCACCCCAAGATTACATTGTCATCCTGAATGCAGTGAAAAGAATTAAAAAACCCTTCTACCTACAGGAAAATAATAAACACAACAGATACAAAGGGTAACATTACAGAAATATAATAGCTACAAAAGGTGAGTAAACAAAAGCTTCTGAATGCATAAAACCTTCGAATCTTCAGGGCATAAAATCTACATTTTACTGCTTTGGGGATGGGTTGGCTTTTATCTGCCTATTGCACACTTACCTCCCCAAAAATGGTTTCTCTTGGCTGCTGTCAGAGGTGGCTCTTGGCCAACTGCATCCCTGGCTGTGCCACACAACCCAGTTCTCTGCAGGCACTGCAAAGCAAGGAACACAATCTCAAACTTCACAGTCAGGTTCCCCCCCCCCCAAATTGCACTAATAATCTCATCAATGATAATGAGCAAAAGAACAGTAATTGAAAAGGACTCAAATTCAAAAAATATCCAAGTTTTTATCCTTCTTATCTTGGGCTTCACCACTAAGTTAGGTTAAAAGAATTCATTTGAAGTGAGGCCAAATTTGTTCTCAAATTCATTTCATTTACCCTGCAAGATGTACGGGGCTGCAAGGACAGATGTGAGAACTGAATTTGGGTTTTGAGAGGCTTAAAATAGTAGCCAGAACCTGGAAACTTCTGTTATCTCAACATCAATTTTTAACCTGATTAGGGAGAAAGTTTCATTTGTTCTCTGTGCCAATTCCCAAACTATGAGGTCATACAGCACTGGTACCCAAACTCCATTCCCTGTTAGCCCTTTACACAAGGAATGGAGTCTTTGGGATTGGGAGCAGATTCAAGTTTGTAAACCAGTTCATTCTTCCAAAAGCAAGCAATCTGGTGGTAAACCTTCCATATTTTAGCAAAGCCTCTGGGATCAGTATATGACCTGTGCATATATGCCTTCACATATGCAAACACTGGCATGTTTATTATAGGCTTATCTAGCCAGGCTTTACACAATGATGTTGAAAATGAGGGAATCAAGTGAAAAACGACAGCTGGCAAAACTTTTGCCTTGCCCTTTGCCTTTTTGTATGTAAAAAGCTCTTTCTGCTTTATGGTCACGGAAAAGTGTACGAGAAGAGTGTGCCTAGGAAAGTCTGCTTGGATCACTGCCATCACTAGAACAAACTTATCTTGTTCCCCAAAAGACCAACAGTTCTCTCTCCTCCCTTCTTGTTTTAACAACCAGCAGTAATAATACCACCCTATCTCGTGCTGTAATCCATCCTCTGAAAAGTGAATCTGAGATAATCAGCAATAAAGCTGACTTAGCCCTGCTCTCTGACAAATAGCACCTTCTCCACATGCTCATGGGGAACCTAAACCTTCTCAAGCAGGCATGGTGCAAGTCCTTCCAAACCAGAGAGGCTCCTCCTTCCCTGAAATCCAGGTGAGACAAGTGTCTAAATACCCCAGGATGCTCCATATCAAACAGCCTGGCCCTGGTCTTCAGGTGTGAAGAAAACAAAGACCTGGCTGAGAAAGAGCCATGGCTGATTCATGCCATGCATGAGATATATATATATATAACCCTTTTCCATACAGGATCACAAAAGCAGGTAGGAGAGCACAATCCATCCAGAGCTGTCACTGCAATCCAGGCTGCAGATACAGACACGTAACTCCTGTCTTGCTAAAGTGCTCTAACGTAAATTTGGCAGTGGAAAGGTTCAGTGGGGCAAGCTCTCATGGAAAAAAAAGATAAAATGAGAGGAGATAATGGTGCTAAACATGAGTGCATGCAATTATAAGTCCACAGTGTCCATGTCTTTCATGTGCAAGCAGATATGGTTACCTCCTTTATTCCCCACGGTTAAAGGCAGCATTTGTGTCGTAACGACTCTTGAAAAAATGAATGAGTTACTTGAGATTTTTTTGCAAGCTACCCAGGGGATTTGTTTGCCACAGTGATCATTCAACTGACCAGGATGTGAGCAACCCAGGGGTCTGTGCTCCTGAACTCCACCAGCACCTGCTCTGGGCAGGGAGGGAGCTGTGGCCATGGCACATCGGCCACTCTGCAGCCTCTTGGGCTCCAGTGTGGGTGGCAAGGAGATTTCCTGGTGAGTGGATACAAAGCACAGCTTTCCTGGCATAGCTGTGCTCAGGCCAGGAGGGTTTTACCATCACAGCACACGCTGTAAAGCATTTCTACACTAAACATGACCTCGGTCATCACTATTATTTTTACTACCTAGATTTGCAGTGCTGTGGCAAAAGGGGGTGGGAGAAGAGCATGGTGATCCCTGTTCTGCAGAACATTGCACTTCCTCTAGTCCCTCCACACATGATTCCCCATAAGCTGTTCAGATCCCCTTCAGGAAATCACATATGTGCTGTTTTACCACCAAAAGCTGAAGTGAGCTCTCACAGGTTTAAATGCTGTTAAGTGCTGCCCAGAGAAACTTCCAGTCTAAGCTGGGAGGCCACAGATACCCTTTTATCCTTTGCAGCTATTGCACAGGTTGAGATTTTTAAAAGAACACATCATCAGGTCCAAGGACAGAATATTCTTTCTCCAAGTTTTCACTATCACAAACTTTCACCACTGCCTATTCCACGACATTTTAAGCAACACGACTGTGCTGGGGTCCACCTGGTGTGCATGGGCTATGAGCTCCTCAGCAGCACCCCTCCTTCTGCCTCCCTTTGGAGAACTCCTCATGAGACAGTCCAGTCCTCCAGACACAGATATCCAAATATATACAGACCTATGGCAGCGCCTGAAGTGCTGTGCACGAGTCCCAGCTGATGGTCTGAGCCAGAAATGTCACCTCGGGGTGACGTGCAAGCCTTTTTAAGCAATCAGTTAAAAGTGTAGCTGTGTGCTAGAATGAAAAGAAGAGGAGGCAGGGAAAAGAAACTTCACTTGCCTGATGGTGAGATGCGTTTGCACTGCGAGGAAGGAGCTCACGGGCCGAGTTTTTGCACGGCATTTTTACAGGCTTTGGGGCCAGCTACGAGCTCGCCGGTTCATGAACTCCCTCTTGGCCAGGGCCCAGAGCTGACACCAGCTGGGCACTTTTCAGCCTTTATAAAGTAAATTACACTCCAGGAGGCTGTCACTCTTTGCACAAATGAGGAAAACCTGAGGTGAAGCCATACCGCAAAATAACGTGCCAGCACAGAGATAGTCACTGAGGTAACCCCGCAGAGCTCAGCTCCTGGCTCTGGAGGGCAGAAAGAGCTGCTGCTGCTGCTCCTACAGCCCCTGGCAATGCACACACTGGTGAGACACTCTGGAAGTGCTGGGGCTGCTCCTGTTAATGGTGTTTCTCTTCCCATTAGCAAGCTCTGCTGACTTTTCAGGCCTGGGTCTGAGGACAACCTCTGGTCCCCACTGTAAAGCAATTTGAGATGAAAGCTGCTAGTCATGTAACGGGTATGGTTATGAGTCAGCAGCTTCAACAGTTTCCCAAGGTTTTTGTTTTTACTTTAATGTCAAAAGAACAGCATGAAATCCAGGTCTTACCCTCAGTTGTTCCCAGCAAGAGGAATAACTCATATTTCCAAGGAGCTGCTTAGGTGACAATTTCACCTGGACGTGTGAGATCAGCTTTCACCAGCTCCTGTCTGGAAAGGAAGAGTGCTCTTATGGAGAGAGCAGAGGTCAGTACTTAGGAGATCTGGTCTCAGCCCCATGACAAGAAGGTATGTGACCTTCAGCACGAGCCTCAGCATCCCAGGACTCAGCTCCTCCCTCTCGACTGAGAAAACAAGCCTTTACCATTTCACTCCAGTCCCCTGTGAAAATGCTGTCGCACCCTGTTACTCTGTGAGAGGGAGGTGAAAACTGTGCTCCCGATCGCTCTTTTATGAAACAGGATATTCATTTACTCCTGAATGGCCAATGCAAAAGCGAAAGTGAGTTCAGGGCAATAAATGTGGTGAGGGACTGAATTTGAGAAGCGCTCTCCCCGCGCTTTGTGGGCTGCCTGACCTTCAGCTGAAACCGCTGCATTTTTCACAGTCCAACCAACACGTTTGGAAAAAAAATAAAGGGAAGCAGCATAAGGTACCACAGCTGGATTTGCCAGGTATGAGACAATACGAAAGCAATGCAACTTTGAGGGCACAGGAGGGTTTGCTGCCATCTCCGCTGGTAGCACTAATAATGCCTTGCATTTAGCAAGCACTAAAACAGCTGTCAGGGTTAAGCAGACACTGTAACTTACCCTCAGTGCTGCCACAGAGCTCCATATAGGTCACTCTTGTTCTGTTTAGGGCTCTGTCACGCAGACACACTGAAGAGTCTTTCTTTCAGTACAAAAGGAAGATGATGTGTCTCTGGTGGTTAACCCTCAGGACATCCCCGTGAGACAGGGGAGAGGTGGGAATGGGCTGAGAAACTGCAGCAGGGCTTTTTTGAGTCCTGCAGAGCTGAGCTGGACACTTCCTGCCCCCAGACACTTTACTTCTGTTCCCTCAGACCACACTACCGAAACAGCTTTCCTCTACTATCTGAACAGAGAGGAGATCCCATTACACAACTCATTACACATCTGAAGAGCCCTAGGCTTAGCCTCAGCACTAGAGGACAGTCCTATAAATGGCTTTTGCCCAGAAACGGACTCCCAGGCAAAGCTGGTGTATTTTCACCAGAAAATGGGTCAGCATCCAGGTAGCAAATTTGCCAGTGGGAACCAGTGATTTAGTATCATCACCACCAGTGAGGACTGCAGGGAAACTCAGAACAGCCTGGGACAAGCAGGTGAATGGGAAGACAAAATTCCCTGATGACAAGCGTAGGTAATGCCTCCTACAAAGTACAATGGAAAATTACTCATACCTGCATTTGGCACACACATATTCCCTGCCATTGCCTTTGGCCAGGGAGAGCTGAGCTTAAACAGCTGAAAGAAAAACCTCCATACCTGGTACAGCGAGCCAAAGAAGTAAATAAAGTATTAAGAAGGAGAAGGATGTGACAGAAAACCAGACTGAACATATTCTAGTAATGGGGTTTCTTTAAAGTGAGTTAATGGCTGCCTTCAACCGGGTCATTGGTCTGTAGCAAATAACAGCTCTGCACAAAGCCAGCGGGTGTCAGATGTCTCTCTTTTTGTGTGTGAAAGGAGAAAGTCATTTATGTCGGGAGGTAGCTGGAAACAAAAGGAGCCACCCTCCCTGACAAGGTCTGATCCCGAGACAAATCCTTGGGCAGAGGCGGTTACCCCGACTGCTACTGGACGGGTGCAGGCACTGCCTGGCAAGGTCTGGGAGGGGGAAGGAGCAGACCCAGGGGGTGATGGTCTGCAGAGCCCCAAGGCTCAGACATGATTGGCAGGACAGACCCAAATGTTGCCAGCA